ATACACTTACATATACGTATATGTATACATACACTAGAACCACGCGCGCTTCTCGCGCGCGCTTAGGTTCTAGCACGCCGCAGCCCTTGACAAGCTGACGCGCACAGCTCTTGGGGGGTATTGCGGGGGCGTTGTGGACGCTATCGGGAGGTTCTGAAGGTTCCTTCATTTGAAAGCCCGTGTCATAGAGTTCCCATGGGCTCCCTCGAACCCTCCAAAAGGTACCGGAGAAACTTTATATGGTGACCCCAGAGTGGAGGAATGGTTCTTTGGGAAGTTTGCCTCACGCGTCCGCACGAGGCGTGAAACAGGGCTGAGAGAGCACTCAAGAGGGATGAGCCCGAAGAGGAACTGGGAGGTAATCTTCAGGGAAAAGGGTCAACGGAGAAGAGCTTCCTTTGAGCTTTCGGGGGCCTCTGAGAGCCTCTTTGGGGTCTCTAGGTGACCTCTTGGGGCCTCTTCGAGGGCCTTTTGGGGGCCTCTTGGGGACTCCTGGGGAACTCAAGGGGCGCAGAGCTTCAAATGTCCGTTCGGGGAACCCCTCTGGGCCCCTTCTTGGGGCGTCCTGGGCCGTCTTGGAGCCCTCTTGGGAGCCTCTTCGGCCGTCTTGGGACGATCTTGAGGGCCTCTCGGACCGTCTTGCACGCTATGTAAGCCGAAGGGGCGAATATTGTAAATTATACGTTTTCCAAAAAGGAATGGGGCAATTTTTGCCTCTTGGGGCTCTCTTGGGAGGCCTCTTCGGGGCCTCTTGGGGCGTGTTGGTGGCTACTTGGCGGTGTCGGGAGCATCTCTGAGGCCATCTTGAGCCATCTTGGCCGTCTGGGAGGGCATCTAAATCGTCTTGGAACGGGAAAGAAAACTCTCGGAGGCCCGGAACCGCCATGGGGGAATGAGCCTGCCCCCCCCCGGGCATTGAACGGCTGATATATATATATATATATATATATATGTATATATACATATATTTGTATAGATATATATATATATATAAATATGCATATATATGTATATATATATATATATGTATATATGTATATATAAAACTATATAGGTGTATATATACGTATAATATATATATATATATATATATATATATATATATAGGTATATAGCAAGTACAGACGTTACCTCGGCGGCCAGCCAGTGCAAGCTGAAAGGATTCAGTCTATTACCACTGAGCGCGCTCGAGCGGCACGAATCCATCTGAGATCGAAGTTCACCGGCTCGCCATTGCGAGCCACGAACGAGACATAAGCACAGCACCCGCTGCAGGCTATACAGAGGGGAGAAAAGGAAAGGGTAGGGGGGGCGGGTCGGAGCCTTGAGCCAGTCGGCCGCGGTGAAACCCGCGTGCGGCCGCCTGTTCGCTCCTTCCTCGCTTCACGATGTAAAATCTGCCAGCAAGTACAGACGCTACCTCGGCGGCCAGCCAGCGCAAGCTGAAAGGATTCAGTCTTTTACCTGAGAGCGCGCTCGAGCGGCACGAATCCATCTGAGATCGAAGTTCACCGGCTCGCCATTGCGAGCCACGATCGAGACATAAGCACAGCACCCGCTGCAAGCTATACAGTGGGGAGAAAGAGGAAAGGGCAGGGGGGGCGGGTCGGAGCCTTGAGCCAGTCGGCCGCGGTGAAACCCGCGTGCGGTCGCCTGCTCGCTCCTTCCTCGCTTCACGATGTAAAATCTGCCAGCAAGTACAGACGCTACCTCGGCGGCCAGCCAGCGCAAGCTGAAAGGATTCAGTCTTTTACCTGAGAGCGCGCTCGAGCGGCACGAATCCATCTGAGATCGAAGTTCACCGGCTCGCCATTGCGAGCCACGATCGAGACATAAGCACAGCGCCCACTTCCCCAAACGGGTTGCCTGGTCGTTAGGCCGGAGCCCCACAGGGCTTCCATTGACATACACGCTTCTTTAGACGCCTGACGTTGGCCATGCAGAAAACGCAGGGGAACTCCCGTGCGTCACCCCCGACATGCTTAGAACACATTGTGTTTTGCCACGTTCTGCGGCGGCGAGGAGGCAGACGCCCGCCAACGCGGGCGACGCAAGCCACTACAGGAAGACAACAACAATGCGAAAACGCTGAACTTGGCGGCACCGAGGGGGTGACGCACGGGGAAACACTGTGTTTAGCAGTAGATTAAATACCTCGCCCCCGGCTGGCAGCGAACCTACCGGCACATCATGTCAGCCAATCTTAATCCATGCACCTGCTCCGACGAGTGGGAGAGAACAGCGGCGGCGGCAGCGGCGAAACGAGGGGGGCACTCGGCCGCAAGGCTGCTCCACTTGCGGCCTCCTGGAGCGGTGCCGGACAACTCTATGTGCGGGAGCTTCGTGCGAGAACAAAGCCCATGCTTCCCTGAACACTTGCAACTCAAAATCGCGAGGCTAGAGACGCTCCAACCTTGAACTCGGGTGGCCTTGCGCCACCGCGCACCATACTGACAAAGGTGGCATGCACTGCTGGCGGAATCGGCACCCGAGGCGAGCTTTACAAGACGCGGAGCCGCCCACAAGAGAGATGTTTTGGGGTACTCCATCATCGCGGGCACTCCCAAGCTGCGGCACAGCGAGACGATGCGACAAGAGAAATGGAACGTGGCTTTGCCGACTTTGAGGCGGACACGTTCGCTGTCGTTTAAATCGGGCACGCCCATCGGCGACTGAAAATCACGCAAAGGCGTTCGCAGGGCCTGGGTCTACGTTGCACACGGGGTCCCCCCAACAAAAAAACGCCCAGGACGAGGCCACTCTTGAGCCATCCAGAGATAACTTTCTCAATCGTGCGATCGAGATGGTCCTCCAGGGGGCCGCGCAAAACGTCGTGGGCGAGCGCGGCGAAGCCGTTGGCCCTTAAGGCCTTGGCTACTTTACCCGCCCCAGCGAAAAGTTCCAAGAACGTGCCAAAGAGCCTGTGACGAGCAGCCTTCAACTGATCAGCGAGGCGTGCCTTCAGATGCCGCCGAACCTGCGCTGGCGAAACTGCGGCAGCCCTGCCTCGATCAGCGCCTGCGCGGGCGCGGGCAGCTGCTGCCGCAGGCGTGGATGCTGCCGCAGGCCGGGCCCCAGCTCGACAATCTCGCGCGAGCTGGCGTGTGCGACTCTGCCCAGGACGAATGCCCACTCTGGCACCTGCGTCATGGCATCCTGCAAGTAGGCCTTCTTGGCGTACCGCTGCATGCTGCCTGGCGACGCCCAGCGCCCGTGGCGCTGCGTCTGTTCGAGCGTCCGCCGGCCCTCCAGCAGGTCCCAGCTCGCTCCGCCGTGCCGCAGCGCGTAAAGCGTCGGGTTGAGGGCCTGAAGCTGGAGCCGGCTCGCGATCTCGCGGAACTGCTCCCTGAGCGCTGGCAGCGTGGAATCCCAGAGGCTCTGGTCTAGGGCCACCGCGGCCTTCAGGCTTTCGAGCAACGGCCAGAGGTGCAGGTCCAAGTCGATCACCACGCTCTCGTTGTGCAAGCCCGTCTTGCCTGGGCGGCCTCCGCTGGTGGGATGCAGGAGGAGGGCCCAGCTTCCCGCGGAGGAGATCGCCGGACCCGCGGGTCGGGCCAGCGACAGCCCGCGCAGCCCCTGCGCCTCGAACGGTCGCAGGTAGCAGCTGAACGTAAGCAGGGTCCAGATCGCCATGCGCCGGCGGCCGCTCATGGCCAGCATGCCTGCCATCGCAGCGGCTGCGAAGTATGGCAGCGGCGCCCTCGTCATGGCGGGCGCCCTCCGCTGCCAGGCGATCGAGCTTCGCGTGGACCGAGGCAGCTGGGCCTTCCAGGGGCCCTGGAGGCCTGGCAGGAAGTGGGCGAGCGCAGCCAGCAGCAACGAACCTTGGCTCGAGGGCGCTCCCTGGGCGAACTGGTGGTTCAAAAACCTGGTCGCCGTGGCGTCCAGCTGCCCGAAGTCCCTCCAATCCAAGCGGTTCAGCGAGCAGAACGCCACGAACTCCTCCAGCCCCCTGCGGCACTGCGACTCCGTGTTGGAGCGCACCGCCATGGTCTCCAGCGCGCTGAGCTGCCCCAGGGGCGGCCGCTCGGCCAGCAGGCGCCTGGCGAGGGCCGCGCGGCGCTCCCGCGCCTCCGCGCCAGCGCGCGCGGGGCGGCCTGCCGCGGGGGCCGAGGGCGGTCGGCAGAGTCTGAAAACCAGGAGCGCCGCCCTCGAGAAAGAGCGTCGGCGGGGTTGCGTTCTGATGGAATCCATCTGCAGTGCAATCTCGTTCCCGTTGCAAGTGACATCATACACATCTTCAGAAGCGGGAGGTGCAAATAGGTAGAGGCCGCTCTCCCCTTCGCCACGGCTAGACACAACGGCATGTTATCAACGAGGGCGAGCACGCGCTTCCCACGACATGCCGAGGACCTCAAGAGGTGCTTGTAGGCCCCAACCAAGGCGTCGGCCTCCAGACCTCCAGACCCAAGATGTTCTGGCCCTCCTGGGCCTGCGTGGCCACTACTCCTCGCCAGGATTTCGCGTCCAGTAAACCAGCCCAAGCCCAAGATCGGCGGTTCCTCCGAGACGCCGAACGTGCCGAGGTCATGGAAGGGGTCCTTCACGGGGCTCGTCGGGCCCTGGGAGATCTCCAAGGGCTCCTTCGTGGCCATGCTGAAGTGCGGGGCGTCGTCCGGCGTGCCTGGCGAAGCCGTCGTAGGCATGGCCCTCAATGCTCCATTCAGCGGATCGCCAGGCTGCAAGAGGGCGGATGTACGCAAAGAAGGGTTATTGTGCATGGGCGACGATTCGGCGATGCAAGCGGGCGCAGAAGGAGGGAGGAGGGCTCTGTCTCTGGCGCGCGCCCCCCCCTCGACTTTGCATCGCCACCGGTCGCGCTGACGCCCGCGGCGAGCGATGAGGTCATTCGGAGCCTGCCGGCGGCGCACCCCGAGACCCTCTTCGCTCGCGTCGCTGGCCACCAGCCGCGAAGCCCAAGGCGCCGCCAGGTCGGCGACCAGCAACGGCAGCAGACAGCGGGCGCGCCACAGCTCCGTGCGGACCGCGGGCCACGCGACTGCGCCTCCGCGCCAGCGGCTGCCATGAAGGCGTAGGTGGCGTTGAGAATCCCGAGCGCCTCGCGCCTCGCCATCGAGGCCCAGGGCAGGTGGCCGACCACGACGCGCACCGGGTGGCCCGATGCGCGCCTGCGCCGCAGCATCTCCTCGATGGCGAACCTGGGTCGCCAGGCGGACCGCCCCTTGATGGCGAGCCAGCGACCGCGCCGCAGCTCCATGCCCAAGGAACTGCAGGACTCCGCAGCCCGCTCAGGCGCGTGGACGCGCAGGCCAGCAGCCTCCAGTGCCCCAGTGACGCGGTCCAGGGCCTGGTCGACGCGCCCCTCGTCCGCGCCGACCGACAGATAGTTGTCGACGTGCCCGGCGGCGGCGGGCTCAGCTTCAGGCTCCAAGACGACGCCTGGGAGCCCGCCCTCGATGATGAGCTGGGCAGGCACCCCTGCGCGCGCCACGGCCGTCTTCAGGGCCAGCTGGCACAAGTGGAGCGCCCAAGAGAAACCCATGGGCAGCGCGACAAGGCGCGCCTGCAGCCAGCCCCCGCTGGGCAGCCCTGAAATGCCGCGAGCCTCCAGGTGGCGCCTGTCGATCGGCGGGAGCCTGAAGTAGCTGCAGAGACCGCCCGGCATCTTGAGGCGGTAAAACGCGTTGTCGATGTCGCCCGCGGCGATGACCTCGCGGCCTCCTGGCGCCTCCGAATTGGCGAAGGCGGCGGCGCTGGGCAGCGCGGTGGCTGGTGGGTCCGAGAAGTAGGCGTGGCCGTGCGCGTGTCAAAAATCAGTCTCACACGGTTGCTCTTCTTTGCCACGCAGAAGACGCCGATCGGCGTGATATTGGGATCCTCCGCCTGGAAGCAGACCATCTTGAGCTTCAGCATCTGAGCAAGGAAGTCGGCGTAAGTCGCCGGCGAGAAAGAGAGGTGCGGGCCCACGTACGGCCCGCGAGGGCAAACCTGCTGCAGGAGGGCATCTGCCTCGCCCCGATCACGCAGCATCCTCGAGCTCCAGGCCCCAAGCCACTGAGCGTCCGGGCCAGCAACGACGCTCGTGAGCGGCACGGGGTCGTCGCCGACGTCGGGCCACGAGATCTGGTCCCGCGAATAGGGCAGGCGTGGGCCCCCCGAGCTGTAAGGGGGAGAGCCCGAAAGAAGGTCAGCGAGAGCTCCTTCAGGACAATTATTATTAGCAGCAAGAGGTGCCAGGCTGGTGAAAGCAGACTGCATGTGCTCGAGAGACGCCCGCTGGCCTTCGGAGATCCCGACGGCGGAGGGCTGAGCCCCAGGGGCGCACGCAACGTTCATGAAGTCGATGGCGTCGTTAGCCCAGTCGTGCCAATCCGAAGCGTCCCTCATGCGACGCTTGCCCTGGCGACCAGACCCAGAACTGTGACCACCGCCACGCACTCCCTGGTAAGGAAAAGGAAACAGGTCCCGCTGCCGAACATCAGATCGAGCATGGCGACGGTCGAGAGGGGGCTGGCTGGCGGCTGCCGTGCCAGCCGATGGGCAGGTTGGCGGGGGTGGGCGCCCATCTCCACCCCCCGCTCCGAGGTCACTTGTCATCCTTGCCAGAGCCCTTGTCGCCCTTGGCCCCTTTCTTGTTCTTGCGGGCCAAGTCGCGCTCCTCTCTGGCTTTTCGTTGCTCCTTCCTGTAGGCGTTCGTCTTAGTCAGCTCATCCTTGCAGAAGTCCTGGAGTGCTGGCGACGCGCACACGTTCCCACGCAGCTGATCCATGCCGAGCAGCACGTGCGACTCAATGTTCGTCGAGTCTACGGCGGGCGCCACGCGGTCGCGGTAGCGCTCCTCCTGAAGCTGCACCGCCCTGGCAAGCATCTCGCCCTCGGCGAGGTTCGCCACGTTGAGCTGGTCGTACACCACCATGTTTTCCAGCGTCCTGCACGCCCTCTCGTGCTCGTCGACGCCGGGCTCATGCCCCTGGAGCCGCGTCTCCGAGAGCCACCGTGAGTGGCGGCCAGTCGGGGTGCCGCCGTGCGCCTCCATGAACTTGAGGCACCACAGCGGCGTCCTGGGGCCCCGCACAGGCCAGTCGGGGAAGCTGCCTTCGGTCATGGCCATGACCGCCGTGCGGAAGTCCCGGTGCCGCTGGCCCTGGAGGTCGTAGGCGACTGCGGAGCCGCCGCGACGGCTGGCGCCACGGCCGCTGGCGCAGGCGCGGCAGGGGGGGCGGCGCCCACCAACGGTGGAGGCAGGGCCGCCGGGGCCGCGGCCACTGCGCCTCCCGCCGGGGGGAGCGCCAAGGCGGCCGCCAAGCCAGCCGCGCCACCAGCCGCGCCAGCAGCGGCCGCTGCTGCTGCGCCAGGGGGCGGGGCGGCCACCAGTAGGCCAGGTGGAAGGGCTGCAGCCGCGGCTCCACCGGCAGCCGGCGCGCCTGCATCCGCAGCAGGAGGCGCCCCGGCCGCCAGGCCTGGGAGGGGCCGGGCCCGCCAGCCGCGCCACCAAGGTTGGGCACCACCGTCGCGCCCGCCGTGAGGCCCACGCCGAGGCGCGCAGCCGCAGCGGTCAGCACCTGCGCGATCCGCACGGGCGCAGGGACGCCGCGGAAACCGTGCACGTGCCCAGCGCCTGCCGCAGGCGGGTAGGCGCCCATGCGGCCTCCAAGGCACGGCAGCCAGCGCTGCACGTCGGCGGGCGCGTAGAGGTCCTCCTCGTAGCTGTCGTCGTCTGGGGTGAGCGTGCACACCTGGCCTCCCGCATCTGGAACCAAAATGAGGAACCTCTCGTGCAGCACGCCTGGGAACCCCGTATATTCCACCAGGAGGAAATCACCCTACTGCAGCCCGGCGGCCACCTCAGGATGGGCAGCAGCTGCCGCCATCCTCAGCGCGTAAGCTGGGTCTTAGAAGCCCGAAGCGCCGCCACCTGGGCCGCCGCGACCTCAGGCAGGGACGAAGGCGGGGCGGGCGCTGGCAGCGCCGGCGGGGCGCGCGCTGCGGCTACCGCCGCGGGCGGGGCCGCTGCCACCGCAAAGCGCCGCGAGCAAGCCCAAGTGCCTACCACCGCGGCCGCTAGGCTGATCAGCCAGACGCCGGCCACCGCCGCGCCTGGCGCGGCCGCCTCGGCGTGGCTGCCTCCGGGGCAGACCAAGCGCGGGTCGCACTGGCAGGAGCAAGCCGGGTAAGGCGGGGCCGCTGGGCACTGCGCGCCCCAGGACGCGCCCCACGCCGCCGCGCCCGCAGCGAAGCCTCTGGCCGCCTCCTGCAGCAGCCAGGCCGCCGGGTCCATGCGCACCCGGCCGCAGAAGCCCGTGGGGCCTCGGAGCCTTGAGCCAGTCGGCCGCGGTGAAGCCCGCGTGCGGCCGCCTGCTCGCTCCTTCCTCGCTTCACGATGTGAAATCTGCCATATATACACATCCATATATATGTATATATGTATATACATACATACATACGTACGTACATACATACATACATACATACATACATACACACATACATGTATGTATGTATGTCGGTATATATATAGTTATATAAAACTGCACACATGCATGCATGCATGCAGATCTGTCTGTACGTACGTCTGTATGTGTGTATGTTATGTATGTTTGTATGTGTGTATGTGTGTATGTGTGTGTATGTATGTATGTATGTATGTATGTATGTATGTATGTATGTATGTATGTATGTATGTATGTATGTATGTATGTGTGTGTATGCCTGCCTGCCTGCCTGCCTGCCTGCCTGCCTGTCTGTATGTATGTATGTATGTATGTATATATGTAGTAATATATGTATGTATGTATGTATGTATGTATGTATGCATGTACAGAGAACAGGCATCGAGAGAAATTCGGTGGCAGGGTCATCCTGTCGCTGCAGGACCTCGTTCGATTCGTCCGCCGCTTCGTTTGCAGGGTTGACGACGGCACGGTCCGAACAATGATCGTGCAATTGCGCAACCTGCACGTCTCGGAGATCTCCGAACACCCGAGCCACGAGGCGCGTGGCATGTGCTTGCGTGGCCAGACATGTTGGCAGTCGGATGGCTGCTGGCTGCAGAGGATGGCCGTCGCAATCTTCCGTGGCACTTCGCACAATGCCATTCCTGACGTCGGGACAGCAAGCGGAGCAGTCGGCGTCCGGCTCTGCTCTTATATGATCTGTGAGTCCGTGCTTCGTTACAAAGCCATCCGAGCCCCTTGGTAGAGCCGCCATCGAGTGGGCGATCACTTGCTCGCGCTGCACATATCGCAACACCGAGAGGATCTGGCGGACGCAGCTGAGTGCGTACGTGTGTTGCATGGGTGCATACGTGCACGCGTCGCCGCGTGTTTGCTCAGGCGTGCGGAAAAAAACGGCGTGGGCATCATCACGCAATGTCTCCACGCCAGCGCAGCACTTACGCGATACATGCGTAGTCCTCCAATCCCCGAGCCCAATCTGACCCCCTCAATCTACATATTGCTTGCTCGCCTCCTCCTCCGGCTGCCGCTGCTCCGCATCCTCTTCCTCCAAGACTGCCCCATCCGACCCCTCCACTTGAGCAGCAGCTTCTTCTTGAGCAACTGCCGTTCCTGAGGCGGCCCGATTTCGTAGGACTGACGCCCTGATGCGGCGTTCCCCTCGTTCAGTGTCCCTCTGGGTCGGGCGCTGCTGGCCTTGCTCGCTCGCCTCCTCGCCCCTCACAAGGAGGGCTGCCATCTGGCATTGCCGAATCGTGCCTGTCTGCCTTCTCACCTCTCGCAGGTCGACCGTGAGCCCAAGACAGGGTACGCTCCCTCAGCCTGTCGTCACATTCCCGACGCTCCTGCAAGCCTTGCCGCGATGCTTACCTCCGAATGTTACTTCCAACGGTCCCCCAACCCTCCACGAAAGGCAACGAAGTCAAGCGGCACGCGCGGAATGAAACCGAACAATCATAGTCCACCACGTGGATCAGATAACATCCCAACAACCGTTTGAAGTTGGTGGTTTGCAAATGCCGCTGTCAGGTCCCTCCTCTAACCCGATGTCTCAATCCGGTGAGATTTCGGAAGGGATCCAAGCCTTTGCCCCTCAAACCAACAGAATCGGCTGCTGGACAGAGGTGTCGAGGGTGGCAGAGCGCCGCAGCCCATGGTGCACGTCGCTACATCTGGTTACCTTGACTGAGAACGAGGAGGAGGAGGAGGAGGCGGAAGAGGAGGGGGAAGAGGAGGAGGAGGAGGAGCAGCAGGAGGAGGAGGAGCAGGAGGAGGAGGAGGAGGAGCAGGAGGAGGAGGAGGAGGAGGACGAGAACCATAACGCCCAACTTTTCAAGATCGATGATGACATCCAACATGGAGCGCATTTTGGTCGGAATCTCGAGAAAGGATCAAGGCGCGGCTACGAGGGCAGAGAGGGAGCAACAAACGCCCAAGCTCTCCACCTCCTCCTCCCTCCACTTCTCCTTCGCCGTCTCCTCCCCCCTTTTCCCCCCCGAGTGAGTAAAGCTTTTTCTTCATGGGCCGCCCCGAACCCATACCTGGGACGTCGTGATCTTGTTCGCGAAGTGGCGCCTTGCATCTATCGACCCCGACCCCTGGGACCGACTCTGCGCCGCGGGTGGTTTTCTGGCCCTGGGGCCCGAACGTGGCCCCCACAATCAGAAATCTCCCCTCCGCGCCAATCGTCTTTTTTGCTGTATCACGGAAGCGGGTCCTGACGGAAACGGGCCCCGGACCTGGGGCTTTTGCCCCACCGGCTTTTCATCCTGAGCAGCTTCTTGGCGGTCCTGGGTCCTGGACCCTGGGCTTTTTGCCCCACCAACATTTCATCCTGAGCAGTTTCCTGGGGCCCGTGGGAGGGTCCAGTGAGGCCGCCAAGCACAGGCAACAAAACACCTCTCGAACCCCTCTGCCTCATGGCGGACTTTTCCGCGACTCCTGGAGGTCACGGCCCCGCCCGCTGGGGGGCCTGATTGGGGGAACGTTCAGGGGCGACTGGCCCAAAGGGGGGGAAGCATCGACCTGGAACTGGCGATTCCATCGCCTATAGATCGGTGGCAGGCCCCCGATAGCGAAACCCCAAGAGTGCCGGTGCGGGGTGGGCTGTCGGGCCCCGATCGGCGATGAGTGGGCGATGGTGCGAGGCGGGGATATATCCACATCCGCCGCCCGTGGAGCCGACGTCCTGCAGGGGTGCCCAACATATCCACATTTACCGCCTGTCGAGGTCTCCAAAACTCGGTCCTCCAGGCGGTGGGAATTGTATCAGATGCCCGCCTCGGAGATGAGGGGGTCGATGCGTCCCCCAGGGCTCGCGCTAAACAATTCCTGTCGTTTTCGTTTCGTATCTTTTTCTTCGTCCTGTCTTCGTTCTGCCTTCGCTGCGAAGCGACATCAAAACGAACACGGCCCACGAGATCGCCCAAACACCGCTTGGCTCGAGCCCTGGCGCCCCCCCCCCTGAACCAGTCCCCTGGCCCAGACATGCGACGTCCTGATCTTTTCAGGACGGCGTCCCTGGAAGTCCAGACCCTCTCCCTGGGGCAGGTTCTTCACCCTGCATCGTTTTTTGACGGTCCCGAGGCCTGGCGAGGGCCCCCAGGGGCCGAAAATAGCGAAAAACCTCACGTCCTGATTTTTTTTTTTGTTTTTTTTTGTTTTTTGTTTTTTTTTTTACGGCGACAGCATGTCTGTGGGTGGCCTCCGCGTCACAGCTCGGCCTCCGGCGGCCCTGCGGGCCGACCGGGGCACCCGCGGAACGCCCCCGGGCGGGGCGCGGCCGCTGGAGAGCCATCCCGGGGGCCTCCTCTTTCTCCTCCTCCTCCTCCTCTCCTCCTCCTCCTCCTCCTCCTCCTCCTCCTCCTCTCCTCCTCCTTCTCCTCCTCCTCCTCCTCCTCCTCCTCTCCTCCTCCTTCTCCTCCTCCTCCTCCTCCTCCTCCTCCTCCGCCGAGACTCCACCGGAAGCGCCCGAACGCCTGGCCTGTCCCTCCTAAGCTCGGGGGCGAAAAACGGCGTCGGGGACCTCGCCATCGCTCGGACGTCCATTCCCTGTGTTTTTTGTCGGTTTCGTGCGTGGTCTTGTCGCCAAATGATCAAGGATGCTCCTCGATGGTCCTCGCCGAAGGAAAAATGCACACGTCCGAGCGATGCCAAGGGACACTTGCCCCCCGGGGCCGCTGCGAAGCTTGTACCCCTGCCTGGGCACCGTAGTGGTATAGACTTTCAGGCCGCCCGGGGGGCAAATCTGCTGTATACCCTTCTTCGCCCGGTGACCACGGTTGCCCCTAACTGCTGGGGACCTCTGTCGGCGCGGCGGGGAAGGAACGGAGAGGAACAGGAGGAGGCGGAGGAGGAGCGACACTGGCCAGCAGGGAAGGGCGGACAAGGGAAGGACAGGAAGATACAGAAGACGACAGCGGGAAAGACAAGAGAAACAAATCCGCTGGCCCTCCAGGTGGCTATCCCGTGAGCTCGAAGCCACAGTCTACAGCCGCCCGATTACGGCCAGGACCTTTTTGGTCTCGCCGTGCCAACTGCTGCAGACGGGCCCTCTCCATCTCCAACAATCGGTCCCGGGCGACACGCCTGTGCCAGATGTCGTGGTGCATCTTACTCACGACGTCAAAGAAAAGGGCAATTGAGACAATTGCCTCAACAGGCATGGGGAACAAGCGCCAGAGACAAAGCCCATCAAGGCCGTCCCCCAGGACAAGGCCGTTGGGGAGGATAGGAAAAGCAATCACAAACTCGTCAAATATGGGGCACGCGACAATGTGTCGGATATGATCACCATGCGGCGCCCGACACGCTACACGCGAATCGGGGGTCCCGAACCGCCCGCTCGGACACCAGGAGTTCGTGAGCGTCCGCAGGAAACAGTGGAGAGAGAGAGAGAGAGAGAGAGCAGAGGAAGGACCGGTCGGACCTGGCAGAACATGTTGCTGACATTGTCCTCGTCTTCTACTGTGAGCGGCACGGTGCCACCAGAACGCCGCGCCGGCCTCCTGAAGACCTCCAGGCAAGGGCCAGGGGCCAGAGATGCCAGGTATCGCTCAGCATTGTGCTGCAGATTGCGGTTGGCGGAAGGAAGAGCGGGGAGGGCGCTGAGGCTGGTGGAGTTGTCAACCATGCTCTGGAAGACCTCCAGAGGGGATGGCTCCTCCACGCTACCACTCATTCGCGATCATCTTCAAAATTAGCAAACAAAGACATGTTGTCCAGAAATGCCTGGGAACGACTAGCGGCCCGATACGTAGCTGCCCGACCTTCATGCTCGAGCGCCCGGGCTTGGATGGGGAAGCCGGGGGCGCAGAGAGAGCAGAGGAGGGACGAAGGCACGGCGTTCCGGGGTGCGCACA